TGGATAGTTCAAACGTAATATTTTGAGATAATGTCATTGTTTGTGCAGCACGTTGCTTATTTATCCACAACCCAACGTGCTAGGTCAGTTAAGTCACTAAATGCAAGGATTATTATTATTATTATAATTCACTGCGCAGTCAGAATCTATGTCGTTCCGAGTGCTTCATAGATCCCGTTATAGTCTTAGATTTTCAGGAAGAAGAAAAAATAGCCGTATAAGGAGCAAACTGTCTGTGCAAGAATAAATAGAGCAGAAATCATTTTTTCTGGCCTTCTGCACTTAGATCTCACAAGGCTGAGTAGATGTAACAAATGGCTCTGCAGTGACATACTGTCCTGATTTAGGACAGACTGGTAATGTAACATTTCCCAGAGAGATCTGAGAGCTATGAGAAGCCTGGGTTCTGCATCACGACTTCACTGTGTCACTCTTAAAGTGACAGCACTACAGCCATCAAGAATTTATCTACCACAGTGGTTTACAATGGTTCGATGATTCTTTCATTCATTCTCTCCCAGGAAGGACCTTCAGTATACCTACCCTCCACAGTTGTTGGTCACCAGTCCATAGGTCTGTCTACTATAGACTTGTGGCACATTTGTTGGTATGCCAATACTTTAGGATTCACTAAGACAGCAAAACAAGAAGATATAGGTTTAGAGTTGTAAAGAACGACTTCAGGACAGACATCAGGAAACTTTTCTTTACTCAGAGGGTAATTAATGACAATTAATGAGGCAAGGATTGATGCTGTGATGGGAGGATGGCAAGTGTGGGCGTTCTGGAATGAAGTGCTTTTTCATCCAAACTAATCTTGTGATTCTGTAAATGTACCCACCCACCCAACTTCCCCACAATACTTATATCCACAGCCTGCCGGGGCAGTCATTGGACTTGTGAGCCTACAGATTGGAGTGGAGTGCCGGTTTGCAAGATACCAGTATAACTTTGGACCCTTCATTGTTGACTTAAGACAGTACCTTGTTAACTGCCACTTAACTCCAGCACAGTCACGATGGGCTGAATGGCCTCCTTCTGTGCTGTATAATTCTATGAACTCCAGCCCACAGGGAGAACAAATCCAATGGTCAAAAGACTTTGGGTACATCTATTGCAACGGAGCCTGAAAGTGTGCGGTGTCACAGCTGTCTTTGGTTACCTACTTCCCTCAATGATCGCATTTATCAACAACTTAAGAATTTTCATTGGTGAAAATTGATAAGTGACAGGTCAGAATTTTCACCCCAATAAGGATTAGATTTATGCGAGTTTAAGCCTAATCCTTATAAATTGCACAATCGCCCAAGTCATACATGCATCCGAGTCCCATTCAGTTTCCTACCACAACCGCTTAGATTTCTTTGCAGCAGTCATATTTTGTACTAATCCACAACTCCATTCCTCTATCTTCCATTACTCCCGCACTTACCAGCTGCAGTGAATCATGCAAAATAACCCATCGACCTGACCCCCCCCCCCCCCCCCCCCGACACATGCAGATTTTGGGAGTGAGTGGGGTACAATCCTCTTTCTCTTGAGGAATGCGTTTCGGTAAAATTCGGCTTACGAGGGGGTGAGTGGGGCCTAACCTTGTTACCCCCAAAAAAATCTTTACTTGAAGCTGGCTAAGCACTTAATCATTGTGTCATAATTAGTGATGGGGATTCACATTCACAGACAGTCTTTAGGAATAGATAGAAGAAAAACATTTCATAACAGATTACTTTACACATTCGATAACTATCAAACCTGTTATAAAACATCACGTTTGCCACCCCACCACTGATGATTCACTGTGTGAGAAATACATCTGCCACTAAGTAGCAGGATTGATATGTGCTGCAACAAAGTGTTCAGCCTGTGTCTCCACACATCTTTAAAGCTACCATTTAGCAAAATTAGAAATTCCCACCTGTGATCAAATATCAGTTTCCAAGGTGCAGTAAGTTGTGTTTCCTGGGCTACAGATTTAGGAATTCATAACCAATATGTGATTATTGGTTAGTTAGATTGAACTATATTTATATATACCATGCACTGCTGAAACTAATCAGCTGCTGTATCGAGCCGGACTTTAAGGCCGATGACATAATATAATGCCTTGCAGTCTATTGTCATTTCCGTTTTTACCCATTCAGTCCCAGCATTCAATGTCCTCAGCTGCTTTGTGAAAAAAAATCAAATAAAAGTTTATTGCAAAAACATAAAGAATAATAATTAGCAATTTATTTGGTCTGTGATGCTGACAATATTCGTGAATTGCTTGAGTTATGTTTGCATGGTTTCAATAATAATAATAATAATAGTCATCTTCTTGCATTTGGTATTGTGCCTTTCGGAGGACGTTCTAAAGTGCTTCACAGGATTTACTGTGAAGTGGATTGACTGTGTATTTGTGGACGAATGCAGTAGTGTAATTGCACAAAGCAATGTCCTACAAGCAGCCATGAAAGGAACGATGAATTTTATTTGACAGCTGTTAGCTGGACATTTCTGACAATGCAACACACTCAATACTTCACTGGAGTATCAGCTTAGACAATGTGAGTTCAATGTTCTGATGTGGCTCTTGAACCCACAACATTCTGACTCGAGATGAGAGTGCTACCAACTGAGCAAGGTTCACGAACAAATGCTACCACAGAAGGACTTGGACCTTTGTACCTTAGTTGCATTAATCCACTATCTAATATATACCATTGAATATTCTTTCATTTACAGGTACCTAGAAAGATATTTTAAATACATGTATTTCTGGAGGTTTCCATTTCACTGCAGTTTTGGTGCTGTAATTACACTAAAAGTGTTACAATGAAATCTCCAGTGTAAACACTCATGATAATGACCTCTCACTTTCTCAGATAAGTGGCTGTTTAGTTCTCCCTAATGGTAATGGTTCAGCTATTCCCTTGTGTGAATTCAATCATTTGACAATGTGCAGTGCAGAGCTTTAAAGGAGATTAGAAAACAATTCCTATGATTGCATTCTGAAAATATATTCTCATTTAAGTTAGCAAAGGAATTCTGCAAAAAAATGTATTTAAAGACACTTTTGTTTTTAATATAAATAATATAAATTTAATATAAATTTAGATGAAATATTAAACCTAGGTCCCATTTGCCTGGTCAGGTTGAGGTTAAAGATTCCCATGGCACTATAGAAAAGAGAAGGGATTTTTCCCCCAATAAAATTGGTCATTCACTGCAAGTCTGTTTGTGGGACATTGCTGTGTATAAATTGGCGACAGTGTTTGACTACAAAATACAATCTCCACACTCTACAGTAAATCCTGTGAAGTGCTTTGAGATGCCCTCCCCAAATGAAATGCAGCGGTTATCATTATTTTGCAAAGTGTAGATCACTGATGAGGCATCTCTTGGACTATTGGGGGATATTGTGCACCGTGGACCTAAAATTGCGCATATTTTTAGTCTATAACCTGTTTCCTGTTAAAATTTAAAATTGTACAAAAAGTGCAAAAAAATATTAAAATGTAGTCCTAATTTAACAGTTTTCCACAGTTCAACTAATATTGACTTTAAGAATTTTAAACACTACAGTACTGCATGATCTGAAATTTTAAAGCAAAATGGTTTTGTAGGCTAAGACCAAGTGGAATTTTTGCTCTTTTTATGGAATGTAAAATATGGCAATTTCAAATGGGAATTTTGAGTGAGTATCCAAAGTCACAGATTGGGATTTCCGGTTGGTCATTACATAATTAAAGTATGTGCTTGCACATAGTTAGAGCCAATGTAAGGGTTATTTACCACATTGCAAATTATACCTCCCTTTAATTAGCCTCAGAATAACAACAGCAAATTACATTGTGTAACGCCTTTCAGGTCGGGAGGATGTCCCAAACCACTGGACAGTGAAGGATGTGCACTCAAGCTGGGGGTTGGTGTTAACAGGGCAGGGAGGGTGACCAAAGACATGACTGAAGAGGAAGTTTAAGGGATAGAGGGATTTAGAGGGATTAGGGGATATGGGGATTGGGCGGGTAAATGGAATTAGGTTAGAAGATCAGCCATGATCTTATTAAATGGCGGGGCAGGCTCGAGGGGCTGAATGGACTACTCCTGCTCCTACGTATTATGGTCTTATGGAAGTTCTTGAGACTGGCCTTGAGGACTAAGGTGAGGCAAAGGGACAGTGGGATGGAGTTCCAAACGGTTGGGACAGAAAGGCTGAAGTTCTGACCGTCGATGGTCAGGTATTGGAAAAGAAAAAATCCATCAGAGTTCCAGCTCCTGATTGCTCACAAGATTTATTTGGATGAAGATGGCCCATTGGTCCATTTGACCCCCTTCCTTCTGGAATGATGATTGTCCCATCCCAGCGTGAAGCTGTTTTTTTTAACCACTTGAGGCATCCTGGCCTCAACCACCCTTCCGGATAACGTGTCATTCAGGGATTTCTTGCTGTGTGAGTGTGCAGCATCACCCATGAAACTTATGAAACTTTTCCTCAACAAGACTCGACACATTGTGAAAGGAAGAGAAGATAAACCTAACCAATTATTAACCTTTTGTTTAGACATAATCTCAAACCAAACCTAAATGTCCTAACATGAAAAGAATCCAAATGGGAATATTCAGGGCAAAATGGGAATGCTTTATAATTTTATTCAAACTGATATTTAGGAGTGCACTTTTTTGACAGGGCATGTGTGACAAATTATTGGGATTTGCAATAGTTCAGGACAGGAGCTGAGCCAAGTCAGGAGCTGAGGCTGGCAAATACACTCCATAACCTGGATGAAAATTGCTCCCTTGATAAATACGAATGCACAGCATACTTTTTCTCTCCTAGTGAGGCATGGGATGAAGATGTTAATATTGGCGGCTGTTGGAAGGTCATGATCTGTTTAACAACTTAAATTGTTGGGAAGTTTTTGTAGTAGTACCAGTTTCACTCTTTTCATTGCTTGTCTTAAAATGATTTACTGGTTGATTCCGTTTTGGCTAACCTGTTGGTTGCTCTTCCTTTGCAGCTGTTTCAAACCTGGATACCGAGAGTAAGCTAACAGTCCACTATCGAGCCACATGGCATCAGCAGGAAAATGTCTTTCACCCTTCGACCAGACCACCGTGTGTAGAGGAACTTCACCGATGTGACAAGGAGAACCTACAGTTCCTAAACAGAGGTAAGCACGACTGAGGTCCTGTAGTATGTGCTTTGCATCTACCATCCAGCATACAATCCTGTTGAAATTGGACATGCCGCAGAGACCCACTATGTTGATTATTTTCCTGGGTATGCCAGTAAAATGCTAATGTTTCAGTGTGAAGTAAGTGATGAAATGGACATTCTGTGCACGGACCATTTCATTATGTGAAGTAAAGCTCCAGCCCCAGATCAATATGGGAAATACAATTCAGCAGAACCTGGTTTGAATGCAGCAGGTTCACATTTTCAGTAACCTGTTGAAACACCTGAAACAAAGGATGTGACTGATGCTGGCTGATGGCAAATCTTTTGTTTGTATCCCACTCATCTCAATTTAAGCAATGGCTCCACTCATTATAGATGGGGGGCAACAACAACAACAAGATTCCATTTATTGAGCGCCTTTCACGTCGGGAAGACGTCCCAAGGCGCTGTACAGTTGGGTCAGGACCCGAGCAGGGGGGAAATGGTCAGGGTGAGGGGAGGGAAGGGAGGGAGCGAGGAGGGGGTAGAGAGTCGAGAGGGGAGCTGAAGGCACGGTCAAAGAGAATGGGGGAGATTAGGAGTAATATTTTCATGCACAAGGTTGTTAGAATGTGGGAGCGGTGAGTGAGATAGAATCCATAATAGTTTTCAAAAAGGGAACCAAATGGAGATCTAAAACTTCAGGCGTATGAGGAAAAGGCAGGTAAATGGGACTGAATGGATTGCTCTTTAAAAGAGCCATCACAGACATGATGGGCCAAATGGCTGCCTTTTGTGCTGTAAATTTATATGGCTTTGTGGTTATATCTATAGATTATTTGTAGACATTTATGATTTAAGCAGGATTCACAAGTAGTTTTCACTCAGACCTCAATTGCCTTAAAACTGATCAGCTGGGAACATGCAAGTGCGTTTATGGCACAGATGTAGCTTAACTTGAGTTTGTCAGTTGACTTGCAGCTTGGTTTTCAGCACTCTTCTAGCAACTTAGCATAGGGGAGCAGGGACACTGATGATAAGTGAGTACGTCAGTGCAAAATTGGCGCCTTATGCTGCACTTCTCATCTTTAATGCACTGGGGAGTCAGACTTGGCTGCAGCACAGAATTAGTTCCGAACATCGACTTGGCTTCCAATGCAGTTAAGCTCAGGATTTGGCAAAGCTAAAACGTTACATGACTAAAATATTAACACTTCACACTCATAACATTATCATTGGTCTAACACTGTTCAACCTTGGATACTGATGATATTGTGTTACATTTTGTGCTGTGAAAAGATCCCAGCAACATATAATGTTACAGTGTGGCTGGTTTCTGGAGATTATTTTATATGAGCGATCTATCCTCCTTGGTGTGTGTGTATGTGGTATTGCGTGGAGCTGCGTTCTCTCTGAGGTGATGTACTTGGCAATGAAGTGTCAGAATTGTGTTAATACTCTGTGGCGGTCTCAGTTGCCTGATTCCTGTGCCAGGCGGGTCCTCGGTATTCCAGGACATTGCTGATGACAGCCCAGCCAACTTGGCTTATCAGCGCAACTTGTTGGGGCAGACTAGTCACTGTGAGCAGTGATTCTTCCCACTTGACTCCTGTTAACCCTACAAGTCAAATCCCAATGGTCCTAGCCGGACAAGCAGCAGGAAGATTTCTAAACAGTGCTTTCAGTTATGAGCTATGCAATCTTATTTGGTTAAACACTAGCAATAATCTAATGCACTTTCTTGAGACCTCCAAACCTTAGCTCTTGCCAACCTTCTCCTAATACTCACTGGAATTAGGTAAGCAGAATTGATCTCTTCAGGGGGAGAGTGTGCATTCCATTCCATTCCAGATACACAGCGATATTTCCATGGGTAGGTTACATATATATATAATATATAATATATAACATATAATATATTATATGTATGGAACTCTGGTTTGGATACTCTTTAAGCATGGTGATGGGTTTTCACATGCGTCTGACACATGGCTGACTAAAACAAATTATAAAGGGGGTAGAATCCATTTTAAAACTGCCATTTTGCTGTTTCACTTTATGTAGACCGCTCTCAATAGGAATTAATAAACCAGCATTTGTTGGAGATCCAGTAAATTGGTAAAAAAAGCTTTATTGTATTCTATTTTGCAATGTTTGAGGATAAGGTCCATCGGGATTCAAATAAAAAAGCCACTGAGCCTTATTACCAAGACCAATGTATAATCTGGCCCCATATTCCCTTTATTGGGAACCACATTAAATACCAATTTCTACAGGGCAAAGATAATGAAGTTATGTGCTTAACCCTTCCAACTTGAAACATTGATATACCACAGCCATGGTGGAGAGATTTTACCAAACAGTGAAGTCAAGGTTATCTCACTGTATACAAATAAAATAGCTGATTTTATTTGTATACAATATAGATTATATTGAAACATCTTAAAAATGCTTTGCACGCCAAGTTAAATTGAAGTGCAGTGGCTGTTATGTAAACATGGCTAACTCTTAAGTGCCACATCCTCAGTTATGCCCTGGAAGTGTAGATTAATTAATTCAGCACAGGGCAAGGCTGGAACTCAAGCCCTTCCTCATCTACATGGCTCACAACATTACCATAAGGTGAATTTATTCACCGAGCCATTGAGAGAGCCTTTTGTCTTGCCTTTTTATTTTGTTTCCATGTTGGTAAATTGTATTTAGTCAACTGGGTGTCCGACACACAAAAATCCATTGCCATGCCTAACAGTATTGAAACCAGACTGAGAGTTCCACTCCTGCCTGTGTTTCAAATAGACTCTGCTACCTAATACCAGAAAGCATCAGATGAAAGTTGGCTTGAACATCAGATTGTATATGCGATATAGCTGCTTGTTTGTTTATAAACTTTCTATGGCTTCTTTGAAAAGTTTAATTGTGGAATCCTGTAGCTCAGTGGTTAGAGCACTCGCCTCGCAAGCGAGAGACCTGGGTTGGATTCCCGGAAGGGCAACATGTTGGGCAAGTTTCCTTACTCCACACGCCTCTGTTTACCTAGCAGTAAGTAGGAACCCGGTTGTTAGTCGATTAGCAGATCGCTTTTCCCGGGGTAATAATTCCTTCAAAAAATAATAATAAATTGGTCACTTCAATCCAGGACTGTTTGTAGAACACTCCTATGTGCAATTTGCTGCCGCATTTCGCCCACAAAATATACAGTCAATTCACTACTACAGTATATTCTGTGAAGTGCTTTGAGACATCAAGAAGACGTGATAAGGCACCACTCCAATGCAAGGATTATTATTAATTTAATACTTCCCAGTAATAAAGATGGCTGTCAATATTATCATTGTGCATTGAACGTTTTTTGCAGTGAAATCGAAGAGTCAACATATGTCAGGAGTACACAGCGTCAGAGCACAGTGAACAGGAGTTACTAATAATCAACTCTTTATTTTCTTACATAGATCAGATACGTCCCCAGGTTCAATGTCAGTATGGAATGTTCTCAGATGGGCAGCAGTTGGGAAGCTGCAATTGCCTTCCGTGCCCTTGGGGTAGAGATCCCACTCCTGCTCTGTAATGAGTGCCACACCCTTGTTGGATAGAGCAAATGTGTGAAAGTTGAATGAGAATAGGATTGGGCTTGGCTGTCACACCCTTTATTGTTACAGTTGATGCTTATTATCTAGGCTCATATGGGAAAAATGGCTATGTAGACAACATAGCTCATAATAGAATACCCTGCACCCACCCCCACCCCATTACAGGCAGAACCCTTTGTAACATGCACCAGTGTAGCACAGTGGACTATGGATCCATGGTATACTGGACTTGTGGTACACCTTGCATCTGGCGCTAATTGCTGGCCTTTTGCTTACATTGTGCATGAGCAGAAAGTGACGCTGGTGTCACTTCATGGAGCAAGTGACATCAGTGGTGCACTGACCAATAGCCATATTTTTGGCACATTTTGTTGTATATTTGTGGACCTAAACCACTGCAATATAACCCAGCTGGCCTGTATTTAGTTTGTAACAAAGTCTCCTTCTGTAAGTTAACAAATCTATTCTAGAATAGGGGTTGGTCCATCGTAGCAGATTCATTCTGCCTCTCATACCATCGTAATTATTACAAAATCTCTTTCTCCCCCCCACTATTGTTTTCTATGGTAATGGGTATGATAAACTGAAGGGTATTCTGATCAGTATTCATTGTTTAGTGTCAGGGAAACTTTGGGTTCAAGTTAAGTTTATTCTTAGAGCTAGGGTTTGGAACCAGAATGCATTCACAGGGAAGGTGCAGATTTGTTACAAGATAGATTTATTGTATAACACTGGTACCTATGCAAGCTTAGCCCAGCAAAAGTCATTGCCTTCAAAGAAGAGGACGAAAATTCACAGGGAGCAAAATTATTATCAACTTCAAAGATTCTGCTTCCATACTTTGGAGTAACACAGCTTTAAGATTTGCTGTAAGCAAAGATTTATTATTATTTGAATCACAGAAAGAACAAAAAAGCAATGTGATTCATTTTTTTTACCAATGCAGTTAGGAGTAAACAATTCAGCACCTGGTGTTAATCGTTACATCTCAGCAGGAAGCTTGATCTTGCCACAAAAACATACATCAGATCAGCCAAACTCCCCCAAATCCAGTTTTACCTAAGTGTAATACATTGTTCCCAATAAAGCTGCTGTGAGATCATTTTAGCTGTGTTTAATGACAGTGCATTTCTCTCCTGAAATTACTGATGGGTTACGGTTCATTGAGTGCCTTCTGTGGCTTGCTCAAGTGCGCTTTCTTCATGTGTGAGCCTGGAAAGTGAGTAACTCTTTGTTATGTGAGCATGGAGAGCCCAAACCAATTCTGTCCTTAATTGAAACCAGAAATGATTGTGTCCTTAGATTTAAGCCGCTGTTTTACATTTTACAGTTTGTGGAATTTTAGGAAACGCTCTTAAATTCAGTCTTAATATGGCATCTCATTTGCCACAGTACCCAAAAAGAACTGTGGAAGATTGACTTCCAA